GGGGGGGGGGCGGCGGTGGAACGAACAAGAGTCGTCCGTCACGCCAGCAGGGGTGCGGGGCCGCCAAGATTGCGGAATACTTGATGTGATCGGCGGTGATGCACGATGGCCCGCCGCTCCACCAACACCGGCCCCATAACTGGAGCAGCCAGTGGCAGCGGCCACGTGGTTTGAAATATGGCGCGCCGGGACGCAACGCACATTCACACACACACACAGACCCATCAACATTATTGCTAATGCAGGAGGGTGGCGCGTAAAGCGGAGCCGTTCACGCCGTTCATCAGAGTTAGCCGGCCCTCTCTGCCACCCTCCCTCCCGCATCCTGTCGGTGTTGGTATGGTACGGAGGACGCCCTCCCCACAGCACCACTGTATGGTCTGTCCTGAAAACACTTGCGAGCAGGGTGGCGGCGCGAGCGCGGACCGCGGCGGGAGAGCCGCGAGAGAGAAGATGAGAGCGGGAGAGGGGAAAAGAGGGGGGTACGGTACTCCTCACGCGAATAGAGTTTAGAGCTTAGACGGACTTGGGTGCTTCCACAAACTCTCTCTCTCTCTCCCCTCCCCCACTCATCTCTCTCTCTCTCTCTCTCTCTCTCTCTCTCTCTCTCTCTCTCTCTCTCTCTCTCTCTCTCTCTCTCCACCCTCTTCGTACTGGCTCCGCACCGTACACAACGGGTGGTAACTGCGGTCGGTGAAGTGCCAACAGCCAACAAACGTTTTCGTTTTGGAGCGTTTCTCTCCCTATTTTTGCTAGCTAAGGCTGGGTCAAACCTGGCCTGCGCTGGGTATCGGCGCCTGTTGAATTTGCCCACTCTTTACAACTTAACAGCAGTTTGAAGCCGTAAGTTTTGGACAAAAATTGAAACTGTAGTTTTTAAATTTAAAAATCGTAGTGAGAGTAGGAAAATGACAGCTTTGAACTGTGAGTTATAGATACACCGTCGATTTTTACAATAATGACCGCAGAATAATGTTTTTCTTTGTACGGTGCGGGACCATGCCCTGCGCTCAACAGCGCAGCAGGCGCCCTCACCTGGCAGGCCCGCGTAATCAGAAGTTACGGCTGTCATAATTAGATTGTTTTGGGAGGGTGTGGAGTTGACATTTTTGCGGCCGCCTCTCGTCCCGCAGGCCCTACCTCCCCCACTCCCATGATCTCTGAAAAAAAAAAGACTCTACAAAAAACACGCCACAATAAGCAAACAGGAAGACGCGGTTTGAAATGAATTCACTGTAAAAAAACGGGCGTAATTTTATCCGTCAAGTAGTGGGTAAATTTCACCCCGTGGCCTTGAAAACTATGTTGCCAATCAATGGACTGGGAAATCTTTACTCTCCACCCGCTCGGTAAAGTTATTTGCACAATAACTGGTAAAATTTACGTATGTTCAGAGAAAATTACTTTTTGAACTTTTTTTGGTAGTTTACATATCCACATGGCAATTTACATATCCACATGGTAAATTTACATTTCATATGATGTCGAAAATTGCTGGGTGCTTCGGGAGATGCCAGTTACACATCCAAATGGTAATTTTAGGAAGCACTGGATTGGTGTTTACATGCCATAGGATTCCTGACCCGCGGCAGACTATCGAATGCAAGAGCGAGTCGTGGGTCTTAGATGAAAGTCCGTGTCGCCCACCTGGTCACCGTTGAAA